TCAGATGGAAACAATGTGACTTTGTAAGTTATAAATACACCACTCAGCCGAGGCAGCACCATGTATTACCAGTCTAGAATGTTGCAATCAAACTACCTACCTAGCTTTAGCCACCCTGGCAACACCAGAGAAGTAATAGTCTCAAAAAAACACCTATCATGGTAATAACATGGCTCAGTGCCTTTGTCCACATGTGATACATAATATCATGTGAAGTGTTAGGTGGTTCGAATGTATTACTAGTCTACTTAGAACGAAAAAACAATAGCAAGTTGTGAATGAATGGGAAAAGCGAGCGACCGATTTCATTCTCGTATCATTTTGCATTTGCGGACGGTTATTCAAATCAATATCATTTCCTTTTGTTTGGGAAAGAGAGATACTGGCAGCGGTCCACTCCACCCATGATTATGGGTTTTGGTAAAATATATCTATACATATATATATAGATTAGATAAATAGGTATACTAGGGCCTGTCATGATATCATGGATTGCTTAGGTTCCACCTGGATCTGGTAGTCCTCATAATTCTGCGGCCTCTATGTATCGTCATCTTGCACAACTCTTTAAGAATCTTGTGGATTTGGCATGTGAAAATTTGCAGCCTTCCAGACATTGATTGGGTTAACGAGGTATCGTACGTCACCTCAAGATCGGGTGACAGGGGGCTGACCAGGCCAGAACCCAATTGATTGGGTCTGAGGTCACGTGATTATGAGCCTGAGGTCACGTGACTATGACGTCACCAGACCTTCCTCTCCGTTTCCCGCTCATTGGACCAGGTGAGCTTGCATGCTTGTGAATGTGGGTGTAAGTATAGCTGTACTGTAGTTTATCCCTAATTAAACCCCTATAGAAACCGAAAATTTATTTTCTGGCAGAAAGCTAGAAATTTACCAAAATATCATCATTGTTTTAAATTTATTTTGATGACCATTCCTGTCCTAAAATTGCACGAGAAATCGATTAAACTTGGTTTCAGAACTCAACAATGCTTCCTTATGCCTCAAAATCCATGTTTTATTGATACAATCAACATCTCGATCCTGTAGTTCAACTTATTACTTAAAGGGTTCAAGTATAGTTACGCGGTAGACAAACTAAAACAAAATTGTAGGTTTATAACCTACCAAAGTCCATCATCAGTTAGTAACAGAGTAGAGATCAGAGCAGAACGAAGGAACATAATTGCTTACGGGAATATTTTCTGAAATATTGTCGACAGGTTAAAATCAATTGCATTTCTGTTACTTGGGTGTGGGATATAAAGCATTATATGGTAGTTAAAAGCCTACATAATTATACTCTTCACTTGATATGGCTAATGTTTAGCATTATTTATAATCCATTATAATGATGTGATCTGAAATTAAGTTAAGCTACAGACGTTTTTTGTGACAATACAAGAAATAATGGTTGAGCTCCTACTTGTGATTCACTTAGGAAATACAATATATCTGATTTATTGTACCTTCACTTCTTCTGCTTTTTCGTTTGCTGTCTGTGCTCTGCGACAGCAATTTGTTGCCCAGACTTCTTATCCTCCCCTACCACCTTCTTACCACAGGTTGACATAAGCGCCACTTGCCTCTCAACAGCTTGGTTGTTGTTAACAAATGCTGTTTTGAGAGGCATTCTTATATATGAGATAATAGCGGCTCTCGTCAGACCACGTAGCAAGGGGGGTAGGGTTACCCGAGCATACTCCTTCTTTGCTGAGGATAATTGTGTTATTTTTTATTTACATCATGTACATTGTACTGAGACTGAAGGAACTATAACTTAACTCGAACACGTTAGTTCTAGAAGTAGTATAATATGTTGAATGAATGATTGATTAAGCTGATCGTTAACATATAACACATATTATGCAAAAAAGTATCTTTGATAATAATAATTATTACCGACTCCCGTCTTAAACCACCATCCACAAGAATCCTCCTTGTAGATGGGGAGCTCAGTGAACTTCCTTGCGGTCATGTCCAAGTCTGGCTTGTAAAAAACCCTCACACGTCGGAAAGTGGCACCTTCTCCTCCCAGTCAAGGATTTTCAGACAATCGGCCACACCCTCCCTCCGCACATATACATCTTGTTCATCATCGGCTGAAATTCATCATTCAATCAAATTTAAAAGATTTTATAGAAAAGAATAATATATCCCAATTACTTAAACTGATTAAGTGTTACGTAGGACACAAAACTGAAAATCTGATGTATATAATTATACAATATTATATATGTTTTCGTATGTTATATATAAGTTTCATAAATATTTTAAAGAATACCGGTGTTATATTAAACTAACAATATGATTATAGAGATTCACATTGTGAATTTCACAAAGAATAGATTCTGATTTTATGGTATTGGTGGTATGCATTATGACACATCATTTAAAGGCTGTGTTATGGCGTTAAATAAATACCTAGTTTAGCGAGAATGACTGATTCAGGGTGTCCGAAATAGCTGTTATGGCTGATCCTGGCATGGCATAAACAACTTCACGCTCCTTCCGGATCAGTTGTATCTCAGTTGTATCTCAGTGGCGTATTGCTTGCTCTATCCAGAGCCCTTGCTCCATGGTTAGGTGAATTGTATTGCAGGTGTTTGAACAGGTGCACAGCACCCTGCTTCATGACAATCTGTTGTAAAACAAGGGTTCAAGAAAACCCACTTCCCAATACTCCAGAAATTTGAAATATTTTTTACACTCGATTTGGTCAACGTCTAGACGCCCTGCAAAGTTTCAAATCTCTAACTGTAAACTTTTAGATCTCTAACTCAATTTTAAAATGGTTTTTACTTTAAATTTTGTTTCACTTTAATGGCATGGGCACCTAAATATAGCGATTTTGGTTTTTTACTGAATTTCGTGTAATGCAGTGCTAAAAGTTTCCTAAAATCCTCTACATAACTATTTTTGTCAATTGTTAATCGACTAGCCCGGCGCGCGCTACTCTTTAGCATGCTTGTCTAACATTTCGAGGAGTAAGCGGCGCGCGCTACGTCCGCGAAGAAATTTAGACGAGTAACATCCTTCACATAGCCATGTGTATACGCGTTGTCATACGTTGTATGACCCGCCGCGCACGAAGTGCGCGGCTCCCCCTGTAGCGTCGAAGACGCTACAGTGAAGTGAAGCGGCAGTGGGGGTCACCGCGTGATACAATATACGCGTACTGCATGAAGCGCTTGTTTCACGGTCGCGCACTACTGCAAGCGAGAGGGCTCTGGTTAGAGCAAGTATCATTCGTCACCTCTTTTTATTGATCCTGCCATTTTTGACATCGAATTAGAATGTTTTGAATTTTTTTTAAACACAAGGAAATATTTAATAAATTTTTAAAACGTTGATCTGATAATATGTTTGGTTGACGATGTCAACCCATTGAGATCGTTGCTCTGCGAAGCAGAGCAACGATGCGAAGCAATAATGCTAGTTCGCGCGGCGCGTCGAAGCGGCGAAGTCCTCCAAATAATATGTGTACATGTCATTTTATTGCTCTATCCACACAGGAGGAGCTTGTCATACGTTGTATGACCCGCCGCGCACGAAGTGCGCGGCTCCCCCTGTAGCGTCGAAGACGCTACAGGGTGAAGCGGCAGTGGGGGTCACCGCGTGATACAAGGAGGAGCAAAGTGCAAAGAAACTGCCACAAACTGCTATTAACTGCTACTAACTGGCACTAACTGCCACAAACTGCTGCAAACTGCCACAAACTGAATTTTGGAGTTTTTGTGCGGTAACTCAGCTAAATTTCATTCCAAATTTAAAAATTATGAATTAATACTCGTACAATATAGGCAAGGTAGAAATAGATTTGTTGCGCGATGCACTACTGGGTCGCGCGCGCATCCAATAATGGATATGCACCACTGTCATGTGCCTCACCGCGACCGAGCTGCGAAGGATTGACATCGTGAATCAAGAAATAGGTCTATTAATTTTTATTTCGTATAGCTTCTAAATTTTCCTTTTAAGTATACGTATATAAACTTCCTAACGTTGAGAACTTCAGTAAAAATTCCAATTTCCACAATTTTGTGTAAGTGGTAGGCTAAAACAGGAAATTATATAGGCTGACGTTTCGAATATTCGTAATGTTCCTATAATATCACTATATTTGCCAATTTCTAATTGATATATTATTGTAAATACGTCTAATTTCCAAAACTCTATCTGTAAAGAACTCACTGGCAAAGAAGCGTTTTATAAATTTTTATTCCACTGGGAAGTTTTTAAAATATAATAATGTTTTTGATAAATTTTTTTTACAAAATATCGTATTTGCTAAATAATTAATGTTGGTGGGAAATATTTATTATATATTCAATATTTCTTTCACATAATGCGATGATATTTTGTAGACATGTGTGATGATGTGATGTCATAAATTATACTTTACTTTACTTTACTTTACTGGTTTCCTAGTTGTATAAATAAAACCTGTAATAGTGACTGAAATGTTACTAGTAATGATTTACTTTCATATGGTCTTGCAAGTCAATATCAACATTCTATTTGATTTCTGTAACTACTAACTCCATGGGCCTTGAAGCAAATATTTAAAAAACTAAGATTGTTATATTCAGCCCTCCCAAAATAAAGCAGTCCTATGAAACATTCACATTGGGAGGTCAGCTCGTCCAGCACACCGATAAATACTGCTATCTTGGCATAATATTCCACAGAAATGGATCGTTTACAGCAGCAAATACTGAGCTGAGGGCCAAGGCTCTCTGTGCTCTCTATGGCCTCAAAGGCAATATAGTTAAGGATGCCCTCTCTCACTGTGCCCTTTATATTCTATTTGACTCCTTAATAAAAACCGATCCTGCTTTTGTACAATGCACAAGACCACTATGAAAAATTCCACCTAAAGTTAATCAACTTTTTTATAAATCCTGTCATCACTCCTGGAGTAATGGATATTGTATGTTTATTTCAATAAATATAATAATCAGTAAATTAGAATAGTAACTTGTCTTCTTTTCAGCTCACTCTTCTGAAACCTCTTCCTCTACATTCTCAACCTCATCTCCAACTTCCTCATCTTCATCATCAACATCATCACCCCTGTCTTCATCGCTGGTGGTGTGTGCGAGATTTAGGTCCAGTTCATCAACAGGTATTGCTTTCTCATAATACCGTCCTCTGTGTCCTCTCACTGCAATCAAAACTGTTTTGAGTAGCTCAAATCGCAAACGACGTCTAAGATTTGCCATGATGAGGCTTTTGTCCTGGCTGGTCTTGGCTGCCAGAAGTGTTGCCACTCGTTTAAGGAACATGGTAGCCTGTGGGCCCATACCTCCGGTGGTCGAGAATACAAGGCCATTGCAGGTTCCTTTTTCGATCTGTACACAGCGGTCTCCATATTTCCTTTCTTTTTCTCTCTCATGCTTCATGTACATCTTTGCTGGGGTGTTGTGATTAGCGTTGGATTTGGCTCCGGGGTGTAAAACCCTGATATCAAAAAATGCCATCTCCATTGGTGACCACAGACCTCTAGCTGCAATGTCAAGCCTTGCCCCATCATCCAGAATTGTACCAGGGCGAAGGCTTTCTCCAGTGCATGGCTGGAGTGTGGGCTCTACAACAACCTCATTACAGATTTTTTCAAGAATGCTTGCAATGGTGTCTCTCAGTCGGTTGTGTCTGCTGTTGACAAAACCTCCTTTCTTGCAAATGAGAATGTGGTTGTAGGTGTTATCCTTGCCACAAATGCATTTCTTGGCTATGTTGGCAATGGGTAGAGCGTATCTCAGTGCTATAGCGTCTTTGAACCCTTGCTTGTTCAAGACAAATCCGTACTTCTCATAAGGTAGTCCGGTCAGCCAGCTTGATGCACCTTTTTCACATGCATGTGGGATCTTCTCACTGATCAAAGGTGGTAGATCGTTCATCAGCTGGTTTTTGAGAGATTCATGTCTCTTTGCATTTGACAGGCTAATGGCACTCTTGACCGCTTTCCCAGCCTCTCTGTTGGTATTGAGAGTGGTGTGTTGCTTCAGAATGTGTTCTGTAAGCTGCTGGTTAGCCATGAGTGAGTTCTTGTACTCAGTATCAGCAATTTCTACTGGATTGATTATAGCTAGTCCACCTAACTTGGCTGGGAGGGAGAACAGACTTCGCTGAAGGTCAGACCGGATTGTGTGTCCTGTCATGTTGGGAATGAGCAAATTCCTGATCATGTCCTCAATGGGCTGCAAGTTCACTGCTATGTCGGGGGTGGTCCTCATCAGGAAAGACCATCTGCATCCGTTTTTTAAATCTTTTGTTAGAAAACCTGCTAACCTTTCTTGGATATCTTCTTGTTAGTTGTATCTGCTTTATCTAGTCAGGATTTAATTTGCATTTATAAACTTCTTTTTTCTTAATAATTTCACCCCCGTCCAAGGCGAGATGCATCATTACTGTCATTTAGTTATCATTTACAGCTGAGCATAAGGGTTAAATTTAAATTATTTAACTTTTTGGTGCTGTATAAAAATAACATTAATTTATTATTATTATTATATAAATTATATTAAAACGTTAATGATAGCTGAACCAAATTAATAATGAAGAAATCCTATTAACCAATTAAATACCTGTTAAATACTTACTGATTCGACAGGAAAGTGGAATGACATAATTGATAATATATATATATATTTTTTAATGATGTAGAGTTTATTATAAACACTGGATCAGTGCATTGAGTGCACACTCGAGAGACTAGACCTGCTGGTTCTTTTGAGTGAGTATGTTGGGCTGTATTGGTTCAAAAAATTTTATGATCAGGTTTTTACCTATATTTATTATGATATTAATATTCATTATAATGGCAATAAAATTTAAATTTTGTTTTCCTTAAAACAACACAAAAGATGGCCGTAACCCGATAAATTTTCTTTGTCTTAGAGAAAATAGGATAAAAGTGTGATCAAACGTTGCCAAATCATCATTATTTTCATAACTAAATCATCATTATCAAGGGTGAAAGTCAACTATTTTCTTTCAGTGCTCTTTCAACTGAGTTCTAAAGTGTCCTTAGAATCTTGCAGCTATTACCTCACCCTTGTCTAAGCTGGTGCTCCGAATGCAAATGACCTTAGATCAGTTAAACAAAAATATCAGTTAAACAAAAATTTCAATTTTATGCCATTTATTACAGAGTAAACAAGTTTTCAATAAATCAATTTGATATTTAAAGGAATCCTAATTCAATGTGTAGTATGGTTGTCACTTTTTGAATAGATTAGATATAGGTTGACGGGGCAAAGGAGTGTGCGTGCTGTTAGCTATTGCTCACAACGGCAACCTAGTAAATGTTTTGTATGGACACCGGTATCCATCACGATACAACATGATGATTGTAGAATTTATTGTATAATTATTAGTTCAGTGGAGGTAGCGGTGTATTAATAGAGTGACAGGAGATGAACTGTAATGGACAGTTTTGATAAATATCTCCTACTGTTTAAAACCTTAACAATCAACACAGGTAGCTAAAGATGATTTTATAAATGCGTGGCAATGACATAGATGGAAAAGTATGAGAATTTGGGATTGGTCGGGGAAGGGTCCTATGGGATGGTTATGAAATGCCGGCACAAGGAGACAGGTCAACTTGTAGCCATTAAGAAGTTTCTCGAAAGTGACGATGATAAAACTGTGAAGAAGATTGCAACTCGTGAGATTCGTATGCTCAAGGTACAGTTAAAGCTACATACAGAATTGGTGACAGAGTTCTGAACTTTCCTTGTGTCAATTGACTTATTCACATCTATAATAATTTCTTTCATTCAAATGTTTGATTGTTTCTGAATAGACTCAGTGAAGACAGATGCTAATGGAAATAGATATTCAGCTATTTATTTACAATCTGTCTTCACTGAGTCTATTCAGAAACAATCAGAAATTTGAATGAAAGGAATTATCAAATCATGAGACTCATTAACACTACACGAATCCACCAGATTACATCTGTAATAACTTAAAATATCTTGACTTCTTTCACATCTTTGTTTTTCCTCTAATCGAAATCGGGTAAAAAAACTCGTCTTTATGTTGCTTATCGCAACATAAAGACGAGGGGTCATAGTAATCCAACATATCTAATTTCAGGCTCTTCGTCACGAGAATCTAGTAAATCTGATAGAGTACTTCCGTCGTAAGAAAAAGTTGTATCTTGTATTCGAGTTTGTGGATCACACTGTACTTGACGATTTGGAAAGGTATCCAAACGGTCTGGAGGAGCAACTTGTTAGAAAAATAACCTATCAAGTTCTTAGAGCCATTGAGTTCTGTCATCACCACAACGTAAGTTTCAACCACTGTTAAGCAACATCGGTCTAAATTCTTTAGAATAAGTCCGACTGGCGAGAAATAGTGAATCCGATTTATTCAGTGTTTCCAAAGAAAACCCATGTGGTTTGTATAACTATGATAATGCAATCTTTGTGGAATTTTGGCCTGTAATTTAATTTTGTACATAATATGTTACAGACATGATAACATTACCATGCCGACACGTCAACCATGCCATTTACCAGCAGTGCCTGCGTACTGCTTAATGAGAATCAGTGATCTTAAACATTTAAACAACAATCACGTGTACAAATGTAATATCATGGATTCACGTCTAGACGACTGAAATGTGACCGACCTTTGTCCACACAGTAAACAATTAGAATTCTCATGTGCAGTGATCGCCATAAAATATTATTTTTCATGCTTGAATATCAAAATGACAAATGTCAAGTATAATTTTTGACATGGATAAGATGCAATGAGAGTACATGAGGGACGATTACTGCCAAGAAGATTCTATTTTCAAATCTTAAAGTTATTAAGAAAATGCTGCATGGCTTATTGTGCTATTGGTGGTCGCAGATGTACCTACATAAGTTAATAAAATATTCTACTGCAAAAGGCATTGTTCCTTCAGAATATGTAAACTAGACACTATTTCTGTGATAAAGAACTAATATTTATGTGCTTAAAGTAATAGCAATTTAACTTTCTGCAGATAATTCATAGAGACGTAAAGCCGGAGAACATTCTGGTTTCGAAGATGGGAGTCGTTAAATTATGTGACTTTGGATTTGCTCGAACATTAGGTAAGTCCTACAAAGTTTTTACATGTTACGGAGATATATTTGATCCTTTTAAATAAGTGTTAGCTAGTAACAAGTCGTTAGTGGTCGTCTGATGAGCTGAACTCAGTACACCTGGTCAAGCACACTTTACGAAAAGTCTGCCTTAATAACCACCTGCTCCCCTGGAGACATTACCTGTCCGTGTCTCACATTTTCGTAACTGAGTAACATCAAGATGGCTGTGCCCTTTATCTTAATTCCAGTATTACTAATATACTCCAGTTCCATTTAATCGAATTGAACTGTTCTACCCTATATATATAATGTGATTGAAATACCTGTAACCTGCTCTGAAGTTGTAAGTTCATGTAATTTCAGCTGGTCCGGGTGAAACGTACACTGATTACGTGGCTACGCGATGGTATCGGGCTCCCGAACTCCTTGTAGGAGATGCCAACTACGGGAAGTGAGTACTTAATTTGGAGTAGAGATCAGGGGGTGGGGAGCCCATTTGGGGTAGAGATCAGGGGGTGGGGAGCACATTTGGGGTACAGATCAGGGGGTGGGGAGCACATTTGGGGTAGAGATCAGGGGGTGGGGAGCACATTTGGAGTAGAGATCAGGGCCGGGGGTGGGGAGCACATTTGGGGTAGAGATCAGGGGGTGGGGAGCACATTTGGAGTAGAGATCAGGGGGTGGGGAGCACATTTGGGGTAGAGATCAGGGGGTGGGGAGCCCATTTGGGGTAGAGATCAGGGGGTGGGGAGCACATTTGGAGTAGAGATCAGGGGGTGGGGAGCACATTTGGGGTAGAGATCAGGGGGGTGGGGAGCACATTTGAGCTAGAGATCAGGGGGTGGGGAGCACTTTTGGGGTAGAGATCAGGGGGTGGGAGCACATTTGGAGTAGAGATCAGGGGAGGGGAGCACATTTAGAGTAGACATCAGGGGGTGGGGAGCCCATTTGGGGTAGAGATCAGGGGGTGGGGAGCACTTTTGGGGTAGAGATCAGGGGGTGGGGAGCACATTTGGAGTAGAGATCAGGGGGTGGGGAGCACATTTAGAGTAGAGATCAGGGGGAGGGGAGCACATTTGGGGTAGAGATCAGGGGGTGGGGAGCACATTTGGAGTAGAGATCAGGGGGTGGGGGAGCCCATTTGGGGAAGATATCAGGGCCGGGGTGGGGAGCACATTTAGAGTAGAGATCAGGGGGAGGGGAGCACATTTGGGGTAGAGATCAGGGGGTGGGGAGCACATTTGGAGTAGAGATCAGGGGTGGGGAGCCCATTTGGGGAAGATATCAGGGGAGGGGAGCACATTTAGAGTAGAGATCAGGGGGTGGGGAGCCCATTTTGGGTAGAGATCAGGGGGTGGGGAGCACATTTAGAGTAGACATCAGGGGGTGGGGAGCCCATTTGGAGTAGAGATCAGGGGGTGGGGAGCACATTTGGAGTAGAGATCAGGGGGAGGGGAGCCCATTTGGGTTAGAGATCAAGGGGTGGGGAGCACTTTTGGGGTAGAGATCAGGGGGTGGGGAGCACATTTGGAGTAGATATCAGGGGGTGGGGAGCACATTTAGAGTAGAGATCAGGGGGAGGGGAGCACATTTGGGGTAGAGATCAGGGGGTGGGGAGCACATTTGGAGTAGAGATCAGGGGGTGGGGAGCCCATTTGGGGAAGATATCAGGGGTGGGGAGCACATTTAGAGTAGAGATCAGGGGGAGGGGAGCACATTTAGAGTAGAGATCAGGGGAGGGGAGCACATTTAGAGTAGAGATCAGGGGGTGGGGAGCCCATTTAGAGTAGAGATCAGGGGGAAGGGAGCACATTTAGAGTAGAGATCAGGGGGTGGGGAGCCCATTTGGGGTAGAGATCAGGGGGTGGGGAGCACATTTAGAGTAGACATCAGGGGGTGGGGGAGCCCATTGGAGTAGAGATCAGGGGGAGGGGAGCACATTTGGGGTAGAGATCAGGGGGAGGGGAGCACATTTGGGGTAGAGATCAGGGGGTGGGGAGCACATTTAGAGTAGAGATCAGGGGGTAAGGAGCACATTTAGAGTAGAGATCAGGGGGAGGGGAGCACATTTGGGGTAGAGATCAGGGGGTGGGGAGCACATTTAGAGTAGAGATCAGGGGGTGGGGAGCACATTTGGGGTAGAGATCAGGGGGTGGGGAGCACATTTAGAGTAGAGATCAGGGGGTGGGGAGCACATTTGGAGTAGAGATCAGGGGGTGGGGAGCCCATTTGGGGTAGAGATCAGGGGGTGGGGAGCACATTTGGAGTAGAGATCAGGGGGTGGGGAGCACATTTGGGGTAGAGATCAGGGGGTGGGGAGCCCATTTGGGGGTAGAGATCAGGGGGTGGGGAGCACATTTGGAGTAGAGATCAGGGGGTGGGGAGCATTTGGGGTAGAGATCAGGGGGTGGGGAGCCCATTGTGGGGTAGAGATCAGGGGGTGGGGAGCACATTTGGAGTAGAGATCAGGGGGTGGGGAGCCCATTTGGGGTAGAGATCAGGGGGTGGGGGAGCCCATTTGGGGTAGAGATCAGGGGTTGGGGAGCACATTTGGAGTATAGATCAGGGGTTGGGAGCCCATTTGGGGAAGATATCAGGGGTGGGGAGCACATTTAGAGTAGAGATCAGGGGGAGGGGAGCACATTTAGAGTAGACATCAGGGGGTGGGGGGGCACATTTGGAGTAGAGATCAGGGGGTGGGGAGCACATTCGGGGAAGAGATCAGGGGGTGGGGAGCACATTTGGGGTAGAGATCAGGGGGTGGGGAGCACTTTTGGGGTAGAGATCAGGGGGTGGGGAGCACATTTGGGGTAGAGATCAGGGGGTGGGGAGCACATTTGGAGTAGAGATCAGGGGGTGAGGAGCCCATTTGGGGTAGAGATCAGGGGGTGGGGAGCCCATTTGGGGTAGAGATCAGGGGGAGGGGAGCACATTTGGGGTAGAGATCAGGGGGTGGGGAGCACATTTGGGGTAGAGATCAGGGGGTGGGGAGCCCATTTGGGGTAGAGATCAGGGGGAGGGGAGCACATTTAGAGTAGAGATCAGGGGGTGGGGAGCCCATTTGGGGTAGAGATCAGGGGGTGGGGAGCACATTAAGAGTAGACATCAGGGGGTGGGGAGCCCATTTGGAGTAGAGATCAGGGGGAGGGGAGCACATTTGGGGTAGAGATCAGGGGGTGGGGAGCACATTTGGAGTAGAGATCAGGGGGTGGGGAGCACATTTGGAGTAGAGATCAGGGGGAGGGGAGCCCATTTGGGTTAGAGATCAAGGGGTGGGGAGCACTTTTGGGGTAGAGATCAGGGGGTGGGGAGCACATTTGGAGTAGATATCAGGGGGTGGGGAGCACATTTAGAGTAGAGATCAGGGGGAGGGGAGCACATTTGGGGTAGAGATCAGGGGGTGGGGAGCACATTTGGAGTAGAGATCAGGGGTGGGGAGCCCATTTGGGGAAGATATCAGGGGTGGGGAGCACATTTAGAGTAGAGATCAGGGGAGGGGAGCACATTTAGAGTAGAGATCAGGGGGAGGGGAGCACATTTAGAGTAGAGATCAGGGGTGGGGGAGCCCATTTAGAGTAGAGATCAGGGGGAAGGGAGCACATTTAGAGTAGAGATCAGGGGGTGGGGAGCCCATTTGGGGTAGAGATCAGGGGGTGGGGAGCACATTTAGAGTAGACATCAGGGGGTGGGGAGCCCATTTGGAGTAGAGATCAGGGGGAGGGGAGCACATTTGGGGTAGAGATCAGGGGGAGGGGAGCACATTTGGGGTAGAGATCAGGGGGTGGGGGAGCACATTTAGAGTAGAGATCAGGGGGTAAGGAGCACATTTAGAGTAGAGATTCAGGGGGAGGGGAGCACATTTGGGGTAGAGATCAGGGGGTGGGGGAGCACATTTAGAGTAGAGATCAGGGGGTGGGGAGCACATTTGGGGTAGAGATCAGGGGGGTGGGGAGCACATTTAGAGTAGAGATCAGGGGGTGGGGAGCACATTTGGAGTAGAGATCAGGGGGGGTGGGGAGCCCATTTGGGGTAGAGATCAGGGGGTGGGGAGCACATTTGGAGTAGAGATCAGGGGGTGGGGGAGCACATTTGGGGTAGAGATCAGGGGGTGGGGAGCCCATTTGGGGTAGAGATCAGGGGGTGGGGAGCACATTTGGAGTAGAGATCAGGGGGTGGGGAGCACATTTGGGGTAGAGATCAGGGGGTGGGGAGCCCATTTGGGGTAGAGATCAGGGGGGTGGGGAGCACATTTGGAGTAGAGATCAGGGGGTGGGGAGCCCATTTGGGTAGAGATCAGGGGGTGGGGAGCCCATTTGGGGTAGAGATCAGGGGTTGGGGAGCACATTTGGAGTATAGATCAGGGGTTGGGGAGCCCATTTGGGGAAGATATCAGGGGTGGGGAGCACATTTAGAGTAGAGATCAGGGGGAGGGGAGCACATTTAGAGTAGACATCAGGGGGGTGGGGGGCACATTTGGAGTAGAGATCAGGGGGTGGGGAGCACATTCGGGGAAGAGATCAGGGGGTGGGGAGCACATTTGGGGTAGAGATCAGGGGGTGGGGAGCACTTTTGGGGTAGAGATCAGGGGGTGGGGAGCACATTTGGGGTAGAGATCAGGGGGTGGGGAGCACATTTGGAGTAGAGATCAGGGGGTGAGGAGCCCATTTGGGGTAGAGATCAGGGGGTGGGGAGCCCATTTGGGGTAGAGATCAGGGGGAGGGGAGCACATTTGGGGTAGAGATCATGGGGTGGGAGCACATTTGGGGTAGAGATCAGGGGGTGGGGAGCCCATTTGGGGTAGAGATCAGGGGGAGGGGAGCACATTTAGAGTAGAGATCAGGGGGTGGGGAGCCCATTTGGGGTAGAGATCAGGGGGTGGGGAGCACATTAAGAGTAGACATCAGGGGGTGGGGAGCCCATTTGGAGTAGAGATCAGGGGGAGGGGAGCACATTTGGGGTAGAGATCAGGGGGAGGGGAGCACATTTGGGGTAGAGATCAGGGGGTGGGGAGCACATTTAGAGTAGAGATCAGGGGGTGGGGAGCACATTTAGAGTAGAGATCAGGGGGAGGGGAGCACATTTGGGGTAGAGATCAGGGGGTGGGGAGCACATTTAGAGTAGAGATCAGGGGGTGGGGAGCACATTTGGGGTAGAGATCAGGGGGTGGGAGCACATTTAGAGTAGAGATCAGGGGGTGGGGAGCACATTTGTAGTAGAGATCAGGGGGGTGGGGAGCCCATTTGGGGTAGAGATCAGGGGGGTGGGGAGCACATTTGGAGTAGAGATCAGGGGGTGGGGAGCACATTTGGGGTAGAGATCAGGGGGTGGGGAGCCCATTTGGGGTAGAGATCAGGGGGTGGGGAGCACATTTGGAGTAGAGATCAGGGGGTGGGGAGCACATTTGGGGTAGAGATCAGGGGGTGGGGAGCCCATTTGGGGTAGAGATCAGGG